AAAGTGGTCCATCAGTATGTTTATGTTTTAATTGTTCACAGTTTTCAAATTTTGGTCAGGTATTTTTCCCTCGATAAAATTTCTCTCATTACATCGCCTTATAATTTGTTGAAGTGGCTTATCGTGTTTACGTATCATTTTTTTTAAACTTTTTAAAACATTTTCAAAAGGGAAAGCTGCAATGTTATCTAATGGTCCAAATCGTTTATAGTCATCACTAATATGAACTAACCCATGAATATTTAAAGACATAAAGTGTCGTCCATATAAAGTTTCAAAAGTTTGAACAAAGTAGTTTAATAAATTTTGAGCATATATTATATAATTGGCCATATTGCTATTTAATAAAATATTCATAACTATATTTAAAGCCATAAAATGTTTATAGCAATCATTATTTAAAATATTTTTAAAAACAACTTGACCCGTATAAATTAATATTAAATATGTTATATACTGTATGTTATTCTATTATAAATAGGTATTGCCTAGATAATGGATTATTTAAGTTATAATGGATTTATATTTATTTAACCATGGGACGAATAATTTCTCCAGCTTAAATCAGCACACACCCACAATTTCAGACCCGACCGTCGGTCACTGTTAACAATTGTATTACACGACTGAGTCGCCTGGACAAAAGATGACTCTGGTTGTCTATAACTATGATTATGTTATTTACACTGAAGTTCGGAGCATCAGAGGTTCACTTAGATCTTTTCTGAAAGGTGGTTAGGTATTCCGACGACCAGCGGTGCCAAAAGCTTTGATGGCATTGATCTAATATTTTCCACCGGTTTGTTATATCACGAACGGACGCAAGATCTGACTTGGGTGGGACGGTTAACAAAAGTTTGTCGATTAAAAAATGTTCCGGCGTCAGTCAGTCAAGGTCGTGCGGGTCAGTATAGGTGGATATAAAGGAACGCGAATTGGGTACGGCTTTGACGCGTACCAAAATTGTCTAAAATTCTTCAAAAGTTAAAATATGATTACCGATAACTCGTACTAAGAGTTATTTAGTGGAATGGTCTACTGCCTTCCATAATCCATTGAAGTAAGGGGCACTAAGTGGGTTAAAATGCCAATTACATGTGGCACGTCAGGATGCCATTCTAGTCCTAACTCCTTGGCACCCACCCACTATTAGCCTAAGTTTGGTTTAATTAATGTATTAGTAAATATATAGATACCTAAGTAATTGAGTGTGTGAAAATATTATATTTCTATCTGGTAATTGTGGGTTGTTTCTCAAAATAGCTTATCAAAAAAAGGTCTAATATTATTATCGTGTAAATAATTATGTTTCTATATAGATTTATTTCTTCATGAATTGGTTTTCATATTTCTGGAAATAAGTATTAATCTGGCTAAAGTAACTTAATTACATAATACACAAAATTATTTTCTTATGATAACCACCTAAACCACCACGAGTTGTTAAATAAAATTATATTAAATACACATTTAGTTAGCTCTAGAACGTTAAAGAGAAGACTCTAGTTATTTTTTTCCTATCCATTGTTAATAACTCACAGTAACTATAGACAATATTATGACGTAATTAGTTAAAAAGTCAAAGATGTTTAAGAGGAGTAAGGATCGTTGCGACAACGCTGAAATTGATATACAAATGGAACCACCGTTGCTTACTAAATCCAAGTAATCATCTAGTATTAACATTATTTTGTATGGTAATAAGGAGTAATACAGTAGAAAAATATTTTAAATATTCACCACATAACATTATATTCATGCTTGCAATCAGTGGCGTAGCCAGAATTATTGAATGAGGGGGAGGGGGTTTAAGGTGGTTTAGGTATATACCAGGGACTATACAAAATATGCATTTTAATACCCTAACCTAGCCGCTCAATATGTGAATAAATATGGAAGAGTTAAAATGAAAAAAAACTCATATTACTATAATGTATATGATTATCGTAAAGAAGATAATTAGTTATAAATTTTAATAAAATGTATAAAATGCGAAATAATATATCTATATGATAATAATCAATAATTAAAGATAAAAATATATACATATTTAAATATTATATCAAAAACACTATATTTTTTGTACTATTGCATAGATTTAGAATTTTTGAAAATCTAGTATTTGGTCGTCCATGTTTCTGTGTCTACTATAATAGACATCTCTTTAATTATGTATTTATTGTTGACTAAAGTACGCATTGTATGTCTAAGATAACCTAAGACATTATGACTTGTCTTTATAATAAGTTTTAATTGTATTGAGATGACTTAGTATAGTAGGAATTTTTTTTTATTATCGTCTATAACTTTCTTTAATATATTGTAATGATGCTTCGCCTCTTTTCATAAATGCTCTATAATTTCAATACACGTTTATTCTAACTTTTTCTTTTGTTCCTCTTGAATTTGAATTGATTTGTAACTTTATTGACTAAATTTGATACTTTGATTTTTTATTATTTAAAAAACTATTCTCTTCTTTTATATTAAAAGTTGTAGTTTAATTAACAGAATTAAGATTTGATATAGAATTAGGTCTATATGCTTTATCTTTCTTTCGGATAATAACGTTATCATATTTTCTAAAAATACTTTCCATTTAATAGATAAAAACTTTAACAATATTTTTTATAATTTTTAACAAAATCTAAACACAAATGACCACATATAGGGGGAGGAGGGTAATTGAAATTTTGAAATCTATCAGTAGTAAAAAATAAATTATCTTTCCCTAAATAATTAACAACTTCTTTTGGAGGATTGCTATCGCCAAACGAATCAAAATATATTTTTTTCTTATTAATTTATAAAAACGCATGATGAGAACAAATTAAATTTACAATTTTTTTTTTTAATATTATTTATTTATTAGTATAACCGATATAGATATTGAAATCCAACGTGACGGATAGTGGTGCGAAGTTATAAGTAAAAAAAAAAAAAATTCGTAGTAATCACTAACCTATAATATCAAGAAACCGTGACGTATGTGTCCCCGCCCCTTCCCCTACAATAAAACTTTCAAATTTTTTTTAGAAAGTAGATTCATAGTACCACCGATTTTGGGATATATTATAACAGATTATATAATATATTTCAAAATCAGTAATGGTACTTTTAAATAAATAACACTTTAAAATTAATTAAAAATGTTTTTTCCTATTGTAAAATAATTTATAATAATATAAAATACATAAAAGTTTCAGGTTTAACACAAACTAGATATAATTTGATATCTAAAACTACGTCTTATCATCTTTTAAAATCGAAACATTTTATCGACAAATTATATTGTACCCATACACACGTTCAAAAATAAATATAACGCATCACGATAAAATCAATATTCATCGCTCCCTGAAAATCTAAAAATGCTATTCTGATCTGAGAAAACTTAAAAAAAAAATTAAAATTGGTGGACTTAAAAATTATAACACCTAACTCAGATATAGAAACATATAATGTGGTGGTAGGAAAATAATAATAACTTGTAATCAACATGTAAGCAATAATTGTCGAAGTAGAAAAAAAAGAGGGTCTAAATAGAACCAAGTAATGATATAAATCATAATAAATATAATTTAAATCAATTATGTTCGAACTAACAAACGTATTCAACAATTGTTTGTTTTTTACGTATGATAATAAATACACGCAGAATATATTTTATTACTTACGGATTTTAAGTATTACTACTACAAACTATGAGATAATTAAATTAAATAAACTCATTTTACAGCGCTGGTCTGTGGTGTTCGTGTCATCTGTGTGTGCTTAGAGGAAACGTACCGTGGAGTCTGGTCTATGAGTACATACAGATGATTATATTAAAGTACGTAGACGAGTTTTTTTTTTTTTTTAATTGACCGTTTCAAATAATACTAAATTGTCAAAGAAACATAATATTTCCTCATGATTTATTTTAAATTTAAGATTATGGCTTTAACAGCTATTTTTTCTCTTATAGGTCATTAGCTACAGTTGTATTTACAATATTTACATTATTATTTCTTATCATTGTAATGTTAAAACTCTAAAAAAAATAGTGTAATTTTTTTATTACCCGGATGTTATCATGATACGATTTGATCTAATCCTAAAACATATGGAAGTTCATGTATAATATTAATTATTATAATCCGTATTTTATTTAAATTTTTAATCAAAAATAAAATATAAATTTAGAGCTTACATTGTATAGATTAGTATCAAACTATTATATGAAATAAAAACAAACATTAAAATTAAAGATAAGTGTGAATGATTTTTGTATTTCAAAAACGAAAAAACTTCAAAAATAATTGGGTAAACACTAACTCACCATTAACAAACACACTTACATAAGTTCTGCTACTAATTATATTATATTTAAGTGGTTGAGGTGATTCTAATCTTCATTATATATACTGAGGTATATTATATTTTGTCTCAAAATTACTCTTAAATTATGGGAAAAACCGCTGGTACAAAAAAACTGAAAACAATTTGTAGCATAAAGTTAATTGACAATCATAAGATAATAAAATTAGAGTCTGCATTTAGAGATTCTAAAAACTACCAAAAAATGCTATTTTAACTATATAATGCCTTTAAAAAGTTGTACAAGACCATTGATTACAAAATTAGAATTGACTATTTTATTACTAATGACAAAACATAATAATATACTTTATACCATACAGTAATAATTTTTTTTTTGACACCGATCAGCAAGGGCGGACTGTTTGCTTGCGCGCCACACTACTTGAAATAATAATAATAATACGCCGTACAGACTAATATAAAATATTGCTCCATGGAACCTCCTTATATTTAATAATTAATAATAAAAATTACCACCTCACATTGGCAACATTTGTAATGATCTCAGAATTTTATTGCTGGCTTAAATTTTAAACAGCTGTAACATCGTATCGTTGTTGACCTTAGCAACATTTCTTGTACCATTTCAAACGTACATAATTTTCATCTGTTATCATTGTTTCCGCTAACTATAAATCATGTTATCCAGATTTGCTCTACATTCAAGTAATTTTACTTTACATTACATATCTTAATAGTTTTGATTGAAATGTGGTTTTTACAGAACTATTCCGAGTAGCAGCACCAATTTATAATAGGGTTAGGTTAGGTAACCTAACCAAACAAGCAGTCCCTACCAAGTTGAATAAGTCAATCATAGTATCAGGGTTTCCTAAACCCAATGGACATCCTCAACAGAATCCCTATGACGGACCGGAACGTGATCTTGAGAATTTCCCTAGAATGGTGAGGTTAGAAGAACCTGCCAAAACAAGATATCTTTTTGTACCGGAAGGATGGTTTGAATATTTCTATAAAAAAACCGGAGTTACCGGTAAGGATATTTAACCTACGTTTTTTTTTATATTATTTTTCCAGTAAACTTTCAAACTAATTAAATAAATATTTTAAAACATATACTATCCAAAACTGAGTTTTCTATAGTACGGTTATAACTAGGGCTCGGAGCTGTAAGAGCTAAAAAAAATTTAAAATATACACGAAAAAATTACAAAATATGCATTAAAATGATATAAAATATACAAAAAAATTATTTTGAATTTCAAAAAAAAAAAAATACATTAGATGTTGTTAATAAATTAATAAAGTAATAATAAACATGAAAACTGTTTATAATCGAAAAAAAAAATTTAGAGATAGTTGGCATTTTGAAATATTATTGTGCTAAAGATATAATTAAAAATATTTTTCCAGTATTTTTGAAATCAAGAAAAAAAATGTTTTCTATTACATATTAAGTTCTTGCAGTGTGTTGCTATTTATTTAATTGTTGACTGTGACGATAACAATAAATACCTTGGTTAAAATTTCGAGTTTTATATTCAATATTAATTGAAATATACAGGTCAAGAAAGAAAAAAATCAATTTTTCTAGAAAAGTATAAAATAGGTATGCATAATATGCGTATAAAATCAATGAAATATACACTTTTTTTTAGCTAAAATTAACAAAATATGAATTTTCAATTTTCAATTTTTTAACTATCCATTGTATAGTTCAGATTTCTAACTTGGTCTAATATAAGTTCAGAGCATACAGAACAATATACAATTCTTACAATTTCTGAGCCATAGTTATAACATTTTTTTACTTTTTAGACCCGCAGTTTTTATTTACTCGCTTGTCATGCTTCTTATGACTAATTATTTTAATAATTTTAAATCTTTATTGGATAATATACAAGAAGTAATACTTATAAAAAAAATTATTTTATTTAAAGGATATTACAACAATATATGTTTTACCCAGTAAATTTATATTGCTAGCTTAAATATTAAAGTATATTAATCTAATACTAAAGTTCAAAGTAAAAATATCAACTGTATTTGCTGGTCAATATTTTATAAATTGTTAAAGTTTAAACGATCTAAGAAAATTTTTGAATTTTAATATTTTATATATTTACTAAATGTATAACTCATTTAATAATAAAAATATCATTAACAATTTAAAACAAATAATAATCTTTAATTTAAGTTTGATAATTGGTCAATTAAATATTTGTTTTAAATTGAATTAAAGCTAAAATTATGAAATTGTTTCTGCTTAATGCAAATTAGCCACGTTAGACAAAAACAGCAGGTTGACATCCTCTAGATATAAGAGAAGAAAATCAATGTTTTGTATATTATGTCTATGTAAAAACTGCTCTTTTAAAGTAATATGCTAGAAAAATATAATAGTTGAAAAACAAAAATAGTAGCTTAAAAATATAATAAAAAATATTCATGTAGATAACCACTTAGCTGTACAGTAGGTGTTTAGTGGTTTTTTTTTTTTTTACTACAAAACTTGTGAAAACATTTCTATGTTCTATAGTAATTCCAATATAGCTGAAGTTATTTTTAAAATAATATTTAATAATTTTAATAAATTTGCATTACTATCCCATACTAATTATTCATAAACATTAACGTGTTCACAGCATATGGCTGAATATAAATATACAAGCAGATAGATAATTATAAATCTAAACTAAATAATGATATTATGAGTTTTTTAATGAATTTAACCTAAAAAAACCACCAGCGTTTAACCTAAACGCTGGTGTACTCTATATACCAGTATTTTTATTTATTTTGATCTATGTTGGTTTATAATAATTGTTTTCAATTATTTTCCTAATCTAACCTTTTCTTATATAATATATAGTCAAATAAATAAATAAAGTTAATATATATAATACAACGTTGATTTCTATGTAAATCAAATTTGTGTACAAAATACTCTGAGTGTGTAATTATTGAAAGAAAAATTGTGCGTGTAGTTAAAGATTAAAATAAATTATCAGGGAGGGGTGAGGTATATTAAATATTCTATAACAAAACAATCATACTAAACAAAGTTATTATTCAATATTAATTTATAATATTTAATAACTTATTATTTAACTAAACATTTTAAATTGTCTTATAACTATTTATTTTTTAATACTTACCTAATTGTTAAGTAATAATTTTTAATTATTATTAAATTTTTAAAATTATATTATGTTTTGATGAAAACAAAATTTTTTTAGGTCCATATGTTTTAGCTGCTGGTGTGACTACTTTTTTACTCAGCAAAGAGATTTGGGTAGTGGACCATGAGTTCTCTTATGTATTTGCAACCATAGGCCTATTTTATATGGGATGGAAAAAAAAAATTGGATCTTCTATAGCTAATTTTCTCGATAGAGAAATTGATGTAATTATTTTTTTTTAATTTATTGAAAATTAGTTATTTAATAATATAGTATTCTAATAAAATATTTTATTTTATGTAGGAATACGAAAAATCATGTAATGATAGTCGTCAAAATGAAGTTGACAATTTAAATAAATGCATTGAACGGCAAAAACGAGAAATATGGAGAACTGAAGCTCAAAAACATTTAATACTTGCAAAACGAGAAAACATAGCCATTCAGTTAGAAGCTGTGTACCGTGAACGAGCTCAAAAAAAATACAACCGAGTACCATTTTTAATAGTACACAAGTATTTTACCAGTATCTATAATGTTTTATTTATTTATTTATAGATAAAAACACATTTGGATTACCAAGTGGAGTTGACTAACTTGACACGTTCAGTACAACAAAGGCACATGGTGAACTGGATCATTGAAAATGTTCATAAGCCATTAACAAATGAACAAGAAAAGCAAAATTTTAAAAACTGCATGGCTAGTTTAGAAGCATTAGCTGCAAAAGAAAAAATCTAACATTTATCCCAATAACGTCCCCCTCATTTGCTCCAAACGTCCGATATCTGGATCTGCACCTAGATCGCCGACTAGTTTGGGCAACCCACACCTACCTCAAACGCCTAACCTTAAACAATCGATCACGTCAGTAATATGGAAAAGAAAGCGCCTACCATTCATCCTGCTAGCTCATCCCTATGCGAAGTACGAGGTACAATGCCACATCAACGTTCCTGTTGCCGAATACGAAGTTTGCGAAGTCAAGTTCAATGCCTATCAGTAGTCCTATCAGTCTTCTAAAATGTGAGTCCGTTCAGTTATAATATAAATAGTTATAGAAGAGGATATACGTCAATTCATCGTCTGTCAATTTATATTGAGTTGACCAGCCGATAAATTGACTACGATGAACTGACGCGCGATGAATTTACGTTCCACCAAAAAAAAAAAATCTTTTTTCACTTTTACTTTTTTATTTTTAAATATTTAGTTATAAAACCTCTAATGTTTCTATTCGTCTAAAAGGACTTAAGTGCAAATAAAGTGTAAATTTAAATCTACTTAATTATAATATAGTTTAAAAAATTATTGGATCTATTCTATTTTAAGTAGAGCTCGAAAAATGATACATTAATATTAATAAACAATACACGCACTAATTTTTATTTTGCATTTTTTTGGTGATTATTATTTTTTAAGTCATTTTTTGATATTTTTAGTTCACTTTTCCTCATTTTTACTGATTTCACACTAGTTAATTTCTTATAATTTCTTGTCAACCATTATATCGATAACTTAAAACTTGGAAATTACCTCAGACTAAGATCAGTACCTATCCTGCAATTTTATCTCGACGATTACATTTGTCTTATTGTAGTGATAGTAAATAATATTATACCTACATTATATTATTTTTTCCTAATATTCGATTAGTATCCGATTTTTGAATCGGATTTTATGATATGAATTACACTTTATTTGTACGCGTGGACTAGGCCTTAACGGGGATACCACGGTAAAAAAAACGCGCCATGTGCAATACCTCATGTTTTTAAACGGCATCTAATGATGTCGTTAAATGTACTAAGGTGGTGAGGAAACTTGCACACAACTACTTTTTAGATAGATAAGATTTGAACCAAGATCATATGGGTTCCCCAACTTCAGCTTTTTATGGAACCTCAATTAGGATTTTATGATCAAGAATTTCATGTAGTGGGAGGGGGGACACGTGCGAATAAGGAAAAAGGATTTTGCGAATCAACGGATGACGATAGAGTTGCGGAATCAATCGTCCAAATATATGCTTATTATATGCTAATTATTGACTTAAAAAAAAAATTGAAAATAAGTGATTTTGATGTGCTTGTGGAGAGAGGGGATCGGAGACACGTGTCTACAGCCCCTCACCTATTTTTTGATACCATACTTAATTAAAAACCATGCAAATTTCGTACAAACTAATTTCATACTAACGAAAAGTAAGAAATACCGTAGGGGAAGGGGCTGGGGACACATACGTCACGGTTTCTTGATATTATACATTAGTGATTACTAAGAAATTTTTTTTTTTTTACTTATAGCTTCGCGCCACTACCCGTCACGCTGGATTTCAATATTTTTATCGGTTATACTAATAAATAAATAATATTAAAAAAAAAAAATTGTAAATATTATTTGTTCTCATCATGCGTATTTACACTTGAAAAACATTCAAAATTTGTTATTTAATGTTTTGTATTTTTGTATGCATACTAGAATAGAATGCCTTTTAACATTTAGATGAATCGAACAAAAACTAATTATTTTTTATTTTTTATTATTATTTTTTTTTTTTTACCTTTTTTAACTCGTATATGTTATCATAATAAATAATAATAATAATAATAATAATAAAAAACTATTATTATTATGATAACTATTATTAATTATTTGTATTTTTTAATTCCCCACATTTCTTTTATACAAACTTGTTAACATATATATTCCAAAATTTTAATAATATGTATATGTATATGTTGAAAAAGACACCTTTTTGCAATCATAATGACAATATATTACCTGATCATTATTATCATTATTATTATTAGTGTTTTATGTGTATATAATTTCTAAACTTATTATTATATAAAAATATTAGTTTTAAATAGACTAAACTATTAATCATTATTATAAGTCATTTTATTAAAATAAAGTTTAACCTATAAATTTTGTGCTATTTTATAATCCAACAAAAATCTATTATTTTTTAAATGACATTTTGATATCCAAATTCTATTTTCAGGTCTATTTTTGAATTTGTTTTAACATTTTAATCATCTTCAAGTTTAATGTTTAATGTTTGTAACATAATTAAAAAATATGTATATACCTAACCTTGAGCGGCACGCAAGTCTCTTTTTGCTGACCACTCTTGATATTATAATGTAATTTATATTCTTTGCACTTAGATTGGTATTATAATGTGCGTCGATTGTCGAGTATACCTCGCCATAGTTTAAGATTTTTAAATAGTTAAAGTCTTCAATGCTCGCAAAAATAGATTTAATTGTGATTATTTATATTTTAGATTAAAAATATAGTTATATAACATACTGATTAGTGATTGGTATAAAAATGAATTCGAGATATATAATAAAATAATACCATCATAAAAAATAAAACTTTAGAATTTGATGTTTTTTTTTTTACGAGGCCGCATAATTTATATTATTATTAGAAATTCATTCTAATTGTTTGGATCAGACAGTTCTTTGATTTTGACATTGTGTTTTACATGCCTGATATTGATAATAGTCTATGTAGGGTTGATATTATTTAAATTACAAAACTTGGTGGGGGAAAAAAAGAACACACTGATACAGACTGATAGCTTCCGCTCAGAATCATAACTTATCCATCTTTTTAAAGTTTATTTTTAATAAATAATAATTAATAAATCAAACAATAATATTCTGATCACACGGCGTATTGAACAGGCAATTCAGCTACACTACTGAAGTAGGCAACAGCATTAAAATCTAGAGCTACTAAAATGTTTCAAATAATGTACCTATTGTTCTAAATTATTACTCAAACAGTCACCAAAAACTATTGCAGCTCGACAATGGTAAAGAATTTTACAATTCAACATTTGACGCGTTAATGTCTAAATACAACATAGGTACATAAATATTCAACGTACAGTATCATGAAGTATTGTATAGTACAACGTTTCAACTGTATATTAAAAGAAAAAACATAATAGAGGGTTTACAGCACGAAGATCGTACGAATAGGTTTCTACTTACCATCATTGATAAACAAATATAATAATTCAAAACATAAAAATAGACATGACACTGTTGCAAGCTGATACAATCCATTATCTGCAGTAGTAATAAAATAACGAAAACTTTTTAATGGAAAAATTAAATTTAAAAGTGGTGATAACGTTCGTATTAATATACAAAATGGTGTGTTTCCAAAAGGATATTTACCGAGCTGGTCTACAAAAATATTTAATTTTTTTTAAATAAACGAGAGGTTTATCCACTAATTATCAATTGCATAATTACATCGGTAAACCGATTGCCGGTTGCTTTTATTCTGAAGAACTATTAAAAACAAATAACTCAAACAACTATATTAGGTAGAGAAAATTATACATTGAAAGAGGAAACAATTTTTTGTTAAATGGTTTGGCTTGATAGCAATCACAATAGTTGGATAAATATACATGTCATTAGAAAATAACTTCGGTCAAATTATAGACGTGAACGTGTTAGGTAGTATAAGTCTGATGAAACAAATAGAATTATTTCAAATATCGAAAAGGCGAAGCACCATTACAATATACCAAAGAAAGTATAGACGATATTAAAAAAAAATTCCTAATATACTAAGTCATCTCAATACTATTAAACTTATTATACAGACAAGTCATAATGTCTTAGGTTATCTTAGACGTACAATGCGTACTTGAGTCAACAATAAATACATAATTAAAGATATTATGTCGATCATAGTAGACACAGAAATATGGACGACCAAACAGTAGATTTTCAAAAATTTTAAATCTATGCAAGAGTACAAAAAATATAGTGTTTTTGATATAATATTTAAATATGTTTATTATTATTATTTTTAATTATTGATTATTACCCTATAGATATATTGTTTCGCATTTTATTAAAATTTATAACTAATTATCTTCTTTACGATAATCATATATATATATATACATTAATATGGTTTTTTTTTTCATTTTGGCTCTTCCATATTTATTCACATACCGAGCAGCTCACCAGTCTCTTTTTGCTGATCACCCCTGATGTATGATGTAATTTAAACTATTTGTTAAAAATGTAATTGTTGAGCTATCATAGTTAATATTAGTAGCAAAATAAAATAAATACAAAAAGAAAAAAACAGGTTTATTAAATTTTATAATAGTATTTAACAATTTTATAGTAAATAGGTTTTCATCACTAAACGATGTAACATATTGTAAATATTCACAAAACGATATAGTAAAATACTATATATATGGGTGGTAGAGAGAATTGCAAGGGTGAGGAAGGAAGTGGGCAGAGGTAGTGGTGGTGGCAGGAGCAGAGAGTAGGCAGGATCAGGAACGGGTATTTGAATTTTGGTTTTTTAATCTTCCTTAAGCATAATAACTGCCATTCCACATCTCACGCTGGTTTTTATGGAAACGATCCAAAACGTAGCCAACTTTTTTAAGGTAATTACTGTAAACTTTTTTGGAGTCAAAAGTATCAAAGTGGACAGCTAAAGAAAAATAATTCAAAAGATAAATTCACACATAATTGTATACTAATGTTATGGTATGCACTTATTTCGACTTACATTGCTTGAAATTTTTGATTGAGTAAATTGTATGCTTTTTTCCATTATCCTAAAAAATGTGAACAGGTATGATGAATTTATACCAATAAAATTATGTAATATAAATGTAGTTTTTATACATGAATTATATTTATAATATATTGAATGTAGTTTATATTTAATATTATATTGATTAATCATAGTTTATTTTTTCGTCATAAATTACCAAAATAAAATACACCTATGACTTACTTTTAGTAAATTGAAATACAGTAATTTGCAATTACGATAGTAGTTAATTTTTATTGTCTCTTCTTTGTAGGTCCTTATTTTGTAATTTTTTCCAATCCAAATGCACTATACAAACAAATTAAATATGTCAAGCAATTTATATAAAACAAGACTAACTATAAATAATGTATATAGGTACTTCGGTTGTGTTTAGATTTTTCGGCATGTGTAATAAGATCTTTGGTGCCAGCTTTATCCCCAACTTCAAAATTTTGTCGACTAAAATATTTTTAGGACTAAATAATAGCTGTTGTTTATAGATAGGACCACCCCAAGGCGGCGATGTTACAATGCAATCTACGGGTCGTAGTCGGTGAGCAATTTTAAAAAAGTCGCCCACAATGAACGTTATTTTATGATAGACATTATAAACTTTCGCGTTGTTCTTTGCTAATTGAATTTTCGCCGGGTCGATATCGATTGCTATAACTAAATTGTACAAAGATTTTAATAATTAGTATTAAATTATTACTTGTTTAGGAATTCTATTTCGAAAAGAAAGAACACAATGAAATTTACTCTAAGAAAATAATGATATATTTTTAAAATACCCGAATCGCAAACCCTGGCAAGTTGAATAATGTTTCCACCTGCTCCACAAAATGGGTCTAAAACCACTTTCATTCCTATGCATTGGTCTGCGATATGTTTACAAATAACTTCTGGACACACTGAGTAAAAACTTTCTACAAAAAATATTACATATACAAATAAAATAAACATATACTTATCAAAAATACGTGATTGTAATAATATATATTAATTTTAATTTACCCTCGTCCAAAAGGATACCGTCGTTAAACTTATCAAATAGAGTCCTTCTTATTTTCCAATATTTGTACGTGTCATCACTAGTTAGACAATAAGATAATACATTAATTAGAATGATGCAATTCTGTTCGATAACAATCACTTATTTAACTTATAGGTACTTACATCGTTGAGAGTGTAACAACTGTGTTTGACGAGAATGATTTGGCGGAGTTTACTGTTTTATTCGGTTTTACGACTTCGTCTTCAGCCACCACATTTATCGGATTTTTTGTGATGACTGGCCGACAGTCGTCATTTATTTTAATATTGAAATCTGTTGAAAACGAAATCATCGTAATATTTGTAAATCGTATAATAAATTTATGGTGTGCGCTTATTTCAACTTACATCGATGGAAATTTACCATTGTATAATTTGTATGATCATTTCCATCGCTCTAACAAATTTAAACAGGTATAAAATGATTAATTTATTCTGATAATGTTATGTAAAAATAGTTTTTATTTTTTATTAAAATATAAATTATTTTTTCGTCATCAATTAACATATTATGATACACTAGCTACGACTACTTACTTTCAATTTATTGAAATACAATAATTTGGAATTCTGATCGCAGTTAATTGTAATAATTTCTTCTTTGAAAGTTCTTACTCTATGCCGTTTTCCAATCAAGATGCACTATAGAAATAAATTAAAGTCAAGCAATTCATATAACGTCATTATTTTATATCGAGGACAGTTTATTATAATGTATATACTTCGTTTGTGTTTAGGTTTTTCGGCACGTGTAATAAAATCTTTGGTGCCACCTTCATTCCTAATTCCAAAATTTTTTCGATTAAAATATTGGTTGCACCAATTGATTGGCTATTTTCGTAATTAGAACCACCCCAAGGCGGCGATGTTACAATACAATCTACGGGTTTTAGTCGTTGAGCAATTTTAAAAAAGTCGTCGACAATGAACGTTATTTTATGATAGACATTATAAACTTTCGCGTTATTTTTTGCTAATTGAATTTTCGCCGGGTCGATATCGATTGCTATAACTAAATCGAATAAAGATTTTAATAACTATTATTAAATTATTACTTTTTCAGGAAAAAGCATAATATTCTATATTCGATTTCTTAGTTAAGAAATCTACACTTAAAAAATAATGATATATTTTATAGTACCTGAATCGCAAACTCTAGCAAGTTGAATAACATTTCTACCTGCTCCACAAAATGGATCTAAAACCACTTTCATTCCCATACATTGCTTTGCAATGTGTTGACTAATAATTTCTGGAAACACCGAGTTAAAACTTTCTACAAAAAATATGACATACAAATATAATATTATAATATATATGTGTAATTATATATTAAATTAAATTTACCCTCGTCCAAAACGTTTCCGTCATTAAACCTATCAAATTGATTCATCCTCGCCTTGTACGTGTCATCACTAGTTAGACAATTAAATAATATGTTAATTAGAAAAATGCAATATTGATCCATAATAGGTAATCACTTATTTAACTTGTTGGTACTTACAGCGTTGAGAGTGTAACAACTGTGTTTGACGAGAATGATTTGGTGGAGTTTGCTGTTTTATCCTCCTTCGACACTGATGGTAACAACGGTAGACATTTTTTATGGATTATGATGTTACAATCTGTTAAAAACGAAACCAAGTTATTATTATTTAATCCTCTAATATAATTAATTTTCAATTGGTGTATACCCAAACATTTTCTAGCGATTTTGAAACGAAAACGATGACACACTTGACATTTTAGGGCATTCCTAAATATGCCAAGAATAGATGATCGTTTTAGTTGTTTGTGACTGCATCTATAAAATGGAATATTACAAGCAGTTATTTTAAGAAACCTGATCTTTTTGAGTGTTATGGCATGGTTATTCCAGTAAAATACACGTAATCATAGGATTGCAAACTGTGGCGTAGCCATGGGGGTTTCGGGTGTTGTAACTTCCCTCATCCATCTTAATTTAATTATTTTAATATTTTTAATTATTAAGTAAATTATCAATCAAAGCAAGTAGATTATAGTTTATGTAATGAAGTTCAAATACTTTTACAATATAATCAAAATAGTTCTAATTAAAATGCATATTTTGTGTAGTCCCTGGTATATACCTAAACCACCTTAAACCCCCTCCCCCACATTCAATAATTCTGGCTACGCCACTGATTGCAAGCATGAATATAATGTTATGTGGTGAATATTTAAAATATTTTTCTACTCTATTACTCCTTATTACAATACAAAATAATGTTAAAACTAGATGATTACTTGGATTTAGTAAGCAACGGTGGTTCCATTTGTATATCAATTTCAGCGTTCTCGTAACGATCCTTACTCCTCTTAAACATCTTTGACTAACTAAATGTTTATTTAACAACTCGTGGTGGTTACCATATGAAAATAATCATGTGTATTATGTAATTAAGTTACTTTAGCCAGATTAATACTTATTTCTAGAAATATGAAAATCAATCCATGAAAAAAATGATGTATATAGAAAAAAATTATTTACACGATAACAATATTAGAACTTTTTTTAGAGGCTATAAAATCTGGTTTTTTAGAAACAACCCACGACTACCAGATAGAAGTATAATTTTTTCACACACTCAATTACTTAGGTGTCTATATTGACTATTACATTAAATTAACCAATCTTAGGCTAATAGAGGATTGGGGGGGGGGGGACTTCGTTAAATCCGCCACTGGACAGTTATAATATGTATAACATACATTGAAGTATTTAACTATTTAAGTATTAGGTACCTATATAACAAAATTTTTTACGACTTTAGACATATCCAAAATATTCAAGTAAATTTGAAAAATGTATTATAAAATGCATAGTATAATGATTTTGTACACTCCTACAGGTTACAAACGTCATATTATTTATTTATTTTTTGTTTCTTCTTACATTAGTACAGTTCGTGCAGTTGTACCGGTTTCCTTTTTTAAAGCCACACCGACATGCATGTTTTGATTATTGGATTCCGCTTATGATTACTGTTTGAACTCCGAAATATAATCACAATGATTGATGACAAATGACAAGACCTCATTGCATATTAATCTGAATTGCCATCATTTGTTAGATTATATTATGCACTTAATCGATAATATCGATGTGATATGAATAATATGATAATAATTAGTAACCGCGTATATGGTGTTGCAAGGGTTGACAAGAGGGGGTACTTGCCTTCCAGCGCTTCAAACTAAATTATATTTCTTATACCAAATGTATAATTAGTAGTGTTAGCCAAAAATATATTTTTAATTATCGATTTAAATAACATCATAACAATAAGTTACATTTTATATAATTTAGTTTATTGAAAGCATATTAAAAGTATAGAATATATATCATATTAAATTTTATGAACTTCAATAAATTATTTTGTACTAACTGAAAGTTATCCAATGTATTTAATCAAAACATTTATTCTTCAAGCTGTTTTTTTATCAATGCTTCAGAACTTGGGTTCGATTTGAATTATGAATTCAAAAATAACAGTTGATTGAGACGCTCAGGAGATAATCTATTTCTTTTCTTGCATATGATTGTTCCAGCTTTGCTAAATAATCGTTCTCAGGGAACATTAGTGACCACTATAACTAATTACTTAAGTCTATTTTTATTGTTTTATAGTATTTACAAAATGATGTTATTTAGTTTTATATTATTGATATAATATGGTATAAATATAAATCATTAAAATAATGAAATACTGATAACTTAAGAAATTCAATATTTTCAGAAAAATTATATCATCCTATTGTAATAATAACTCCAATAGTTAAATAAAAAAATATATATATAATGAAATATACTAAGTGATATAGTCTTAAAAATTGTGTCCGCTTAGAATTGTTTTTCCCGTACATCATTTAATTTTAATTTAACACATTCATATATCAGTGAGCTACTCGGTACCTGATATAGGTACCTACAGCTGAGCCATGAGTGGTACACACTTTTCTATCTTTTCATAATTATTATTAGAAAATTAATATAATCTCACTCCGCTCAGAGTCTAATCCAAAACAAAATAATTGTTGATTTTGATAATTATATTACTGCAGAAAGACAAAAAAAAAAAACAAATTTTCTAATTTAAATTTGTACATTGTAATTTTTTTTGTTTATAATAATCATAAATTCAGTTATGACAGTAATCATAATATAACAATAAACGTTACAACTGGTCAGTAAGTATATCAATATTAACAAAATTATACTGATTTTGAAGTTAATTTTAATGAAAAAAATATGATCAAGTCACAATTGGCTAAAAGTCATAAACTGTGCTTATGATTATTTGATTTTTTTACTACAGTGATTTTTCCCGTTTAAGTATTACCTACCTACTGACTACTTAAAAGTTTCATAAATCATTTCGATTTTTACGATTTCTTTATCTATGGTAATGACCACTTAAATATTTGTATACTAGTAAGTATACTGCATAAAATAATAAATTGGATGGCGTGTGGGTGGGATAAAACAAGTCGATTGTGGACATATTTTTATTACCTACGCTGTCTCGTAGAAAACAAAAAGTGTATTTTTTGCAGAAGTAACATAAGTAAACGATTTTCCAATTGTTACTACTCAACATGACGTTTGTTCGTCAACAAAACGAACCGAAAAGAGATTTGTATGTACCTACGCTAATAAACTGTTGAAAAAGTCGGTTGGTAATAAGAATTTTATAGAAATAAACATTCTATACCTAGTTAAATATAGTGCCTATTAAATAATTAAATAGTTTTGACATTAAAATATCGACAAAATGGTTTTTAATAAATCGTTTCCTCTCGACAACTCCACGAAAACACGCTTAATATAAGCACGTTTTATACTTGACATGAACTGCAACAAAGATTTTAAGTATTTAAGTACCTACATTCTTACTCCTAAGATGTCTATAGAGTATAGACTATAGTCATAATATTGTACTGCACGATGTTCTCATGATTTAAAACTGCGATTCTTAACCTGTCGTCCGCAGCTCTCCAAGAGTCCGTGATATCCATGTCGGGGGGTCATCGACAACCTTAACACATAACACACGTCAATAATTAGTTCATTATTACAATTTTGTTGGATTCTTATTTTTTTTCACGTATACTATATCTCATCATGTAAAAAGATATGCATATTTTATTTTATTTATATTACTTTTTTTATGAAAAATTAAGTGTAGGTAACAAAAATTATCATGAATTTGGTTACGATAACATGAGATTTTTTTGTAAAAAAAAAAAATATTCGAAAAAAATTGGTACCTAAGCGAGTACGAGATTCCTAAATACCTTTGATCAGTGGTCCGTGATCGGCGTGATCTATAAAAGGTTAAGACTTAAGAAGTTAGAACCGCTGATCTAAACAAAAAACATGCCTACCGATTTATTTTGTATTTTTGTATGACGGAGCAGCTACGATACGTCATATGTATTATTATACACGGTGATAATTAACAGAAATAAAATGATAACAGTACAACTGTTATCAGTTAGTAAATATTAACAATTGATATTGTTTTCAAGGCCGCGGATTACACTTCACAGTTTTAGCCTAGATAGTCGTATAGAGACGCCTTAGTTTGGCTTATTTCGTTCTATTCTGCTATTTTTGTTCAAATCGGAATTAAATTGGATATTCAGATTTCGCGTTACCGTCACTCTGCTGGTAAGCTACACGTTTAATAATTAAAATAATAGTTTATGAAATAAATTAATTTTATGTACGCCCAGTTCTCGATTCCTAATACCTACTTGATGTTGTGTCTTGGGTATTTGCTTTAGTCTTACAACGAAATCATTATTTTTGTGGTCAGTTAACAAAGTTCATTCACTCTCTACAAGATTCCTGAAAATATGGCGGACGAAGTCAACGGGATAGACCTAGAAGAGACTACTGATCCGTCCATGGACTCGGCTCAAGGGGAGAACGATGAAGATAATACCGGTTAGTAAATAATGTTGTGTGCGATTTTATTTTGGTTAAAATGACAATGAAATGTTTATGTGTTCTTGTAGTTGTGTACAAGTTACACGAAGAAATCGACAACTTAAACTTGGTGCTCGACCATTTGGAGCGCAAGAACGGTGACATTTATTCGCGAATTGAACAGTTGCTAGCGTCTTTTCAAAATAATAAACCTGAAGAAGAATAAGTCAGTGGTATGGCTGACAAAGAAGTGCTGCGTTATTAATATTAGGAAAAATTACTTTTTATTCTGTCGTGTAAAATCATAGGCCTTTTTTCATTCTTATAAATTTGCTATATTTTGACTCATTTTCAAAAAATACCTGTAAATAGTCAATTTTTGTTATTTAGTTATCACTAATAATATTAGTTTTCTGTCGTACATGAATGTGATAGTACAATATTTGCGCTCATTGATATTTAATATTTTAAAGTTGTTTTTGTGGTAGTATTATTTTATGTGATTCCTATAGTAGAATTTGATAATTTAATAAAATAAATACATTTTAAGTATTGCTTGATTATAGTTAGGTAAGTAGGTACCTAAATATAAATAAAAAAATATTGTTTTAAAAATTTGAAAATAATGAATATTCAATAATCATTCTATACATATTGTTTACAAGAGCAATTTGATAGCGGAGTTATACAACTTATAATTGTTAAATAAATAATGTATCCTTACTTTTAGTATACTTATAATACTTTTGTCTAGACTTAAGATAAAAATTTTACCGTAATAATTGAATTTAAATCTTATGTTTATTTTGATATATCTATAAATATATCTATGTTATAATGAATTTATAGTTTCCAATATCTTTTTAAAATTTCTTTTTATGATGTTATAGAAATTTATGTGTAATAAAATTGCATTCCATACAATACATTTTTTTATTTTTAATCAATAAGATTACGACTTTTTATTTCATCAGGAAACAAACGTCAAACAATAGTTATTTAAAGTAAAATAACAAGGAATTAACAACATAGTTCCTATTATTATTTAATGATCTATTTTGACATTTTTTTTAATTTTTTTTTATTGTATTGTATTTGTAGCTACCTATTTTTTATGTAATGTTTTTATTACTCAGGTCAATGGTGTGCTGGGCAATGGATTTAGCGTGATAAAATGTTTTTAATTATAATATTGAGTATTAAGTACCTACTCATTAGTCATTCATTAAGCTATGCTATATACTAATGTTTAATACACACTAGTACACTACTATATTAACTCAAAATAAAATTGTCGTAGGTATTACAAAATACATTAGATACCCTTGATAATAATATGGTGTCTATAGATATTAAACGCCAAAAATGTATCGGCTTAAAATTATTTTTCAACAATAATAATTAATGGATAATTGGTAAAAATAATCTATATAAAATGTAAAATATACAATTGAACATTTTTTAATTTAAATGACTGGAATATGAAATGAATGAGAGAAAAAAGAAATGATAACATATTTATTCTGTATTTAGTCTAGATAAATTTGAGTATTACAATATGAATATGTGCGTAAAAACAGGTTACTCGCCAATATTTTATTATAAGATAAAGTAATACAAGTTTTGTTTTCAACAAGTCTATTCTATAAAGTATAAGCTAATAGTCTAATGAAAAGTATTTACCAAAAGAAAAAAAACCCACCCATATTTTTATCATAAATAACATAAAATATTTTAAAATGCATAATAACATGCTAATTTGATGTCTAATATGACACAAAATATGTTGGTCTTTTCTAAAAGTGTGATCGACAGAAGCAGTTTATTCTTCGATTGTGATTTAACGTAATCTAAAGTATGATGTATTTTCAAAAAACATTAAAATCTATGGTTGAGTTAATAATAATAATAATACATTTGTCAAATTCAGAATATAGGAGATATATTAAATATTAATCAATAAATTATGCATATTACTTGAGATTAGTCGCAAGTATAATCTATGAGGAACAAATTAAATATATTCAATTACTAATACTAATCAATTAGTTATATAACTAATAATAATAAAAAAAAACATATATTTTACAATAGAATATTGATTATGATGTTTAATTAACCTCCTTCATTGTCACATATAAACGCTAAATCAAAATATAAATTAATAGCTATTGATATGTTTAAACAAGTTTATTTTCCCATTGAAAAATATAATAAAAATTGTCGGCTATAATGACAATAATTTATAATTGTGTTTGTTTTTAAACACATTAATGCTATTATAACACTATGTACAACAAAAAGTGATAACAACAAGGAGTAAAACAACATAGCATAATTTTATTGGTTTTCATTTCAAATAAATACATTAAACAAATAATTCATTTGAAAGTAAGAATACACACATCCAATATATTTTGCATATTATATGTATGTGTATACGTGTACATGTAAATAATAATATTTAAAACCTCAACACGCCCATACAGGAGCTCACAATAGGTATACACAATACAAGTCTATGCATACAATTATGTTGGCAAAAATAAATTTGGTTGTCGACCAATGCAACATATAACACAAATAAGTATTGCGTCATAAATTGAAAAAAAAATAAAATAATTAATAATAATATTACATGAGATACATATACATTCCTACAATGCATTTCGAGGACAATTGTATTACTGCAAGTCCATTGAACCATTTATTATTAAAATGCAATACATACATTACATCCTAAACACTACAATATTATTTTTTCAAGAATCTAATGAGTAATAACAATAATTTTACACAATATCAGAAAAACATTTAAGTATATTATGAAAACAAAAATAGTCTTTAACACTACATCAAATTACTAAAACACACGAAATGGAATATTGAATTAATTATTGCCAAAGATACATAATTTCTGGCACGCTCACAGAATACACAAATGAACAATTAAACATGTTGTTTGTTAACAAAACTATTGACAAAGAATAAAAAATTATAATAATACTATTTATTTAAAACATTCTTTCATGTAATTATAATTATTTAGATTTTACTTTTCAAAACAGGAATGAACAAATTTTCAGAAGAGGAACAGTCTTCTACCACTAAATTTAACACATATTACACTATCAATACCTATAAAAATCACAAACATTTTAAGGATTTACACAAGCTTCCACAGTTGTATGGCGACTATCAAATAACATTATTTTTATTTTTCAACAATAATAGTTTATTGTTAAAAACATATAAACATAATTTACAAAATCAATCTAAAAAAAATTTTTTTGATTGGGTATATGTGTAATTCTTAACGACATGTTTTGATAATCGCCCTAATTATTTTTAACAGACATACATAATATTGTTTTAGGCAAATGTTTATTTTTGCTTAAACATAAATTGAAATTAAAAAAAAAAAAAAAAAAACAATGCTAAAAATGTTTAATTTTAAATTAACAAAACAATTTTAAAACTGTATAATAAAGTCTTTCCCGTATGGTTTATAATAATTACACCTTAAATTAAATATTGGTAACACTCGTGGATTACAAATATATATTAAAAATATTTTTACAATAAATTTATTTTGCTGAGCAAAATAATGTATTTAATATAAAATATACCATACGGACAAAAAATTATTATTTTTAACTTAATAAAAATACAAATGAAAAATTTTTAGCTGCTCAAAATTACCGTTCAAACTAATACATTTTAAAATATTAATATACCATATTTTACAATAGTAACAATTTTCATTTAGTTTATTGAGCAGCATACTAATACAGTAATATTAAGTTTATAAATATTTAATTTTTTATTTACTTTTATATAATAGTCATAAATCAAAACCCTGTAATATTTATTATTTTATAATAAATATATAATGTAAGACTTATTATTGTGTATCAAGAAATAATAATTTTTAAGTTATATGAAAATAATTGAATGAATGAGTAATAATTATTCAATGCCGTTTGGACTTACGATAAGAATTTTTCAAACGGTTGACAACCGTATGTCAGTCACTTAATCGTTTTTTTGAAGTCTTATGGTTTCGCTTATAGTAATTTTGTGCCATAGAGTTGATTAATGACACAATGAAATATAGAACCATTGATAGAACAAATAGATCAAACAATTTCACAGCAATATTTGTACCCTATATAAGTATATAAATGTTAGTAATAAAGTATATAAATTTTAAAAATCAATATCACTAATTACCTTTGAGTCTTTTTTGGCATGTAACCTTTGTTTTTGGTTAATTAAAAACGTTGTAATAGGTGCTTGCAATTTTTTTCCAACTCCTGGGATTTTGCCAACAACATCAAGTACACTTTCAATCAGAGTTTCATTAAAAGCTACCACAACAAATAACACTTGTATGCTCATTTTAATGGCAGCTTTACCCAAAAGAGTAGCTCCAAAAAACGTCCAGAACGGTATTAAAAAGTGTCCGCATGTAATCCCAGCAAGATCAAATAATGGATTTGGAATCTAAAATATGTTCACTGTTCAAAATCCAGTATGATTTATTATATAGAATAAAATATTAACTTACAGAAGCACAGGCTAAAATTCCAAAGAAACCAACTTTTTTCACTAATCGCTCAACAAATAATTTTGACTTGTCAACTAGAGTCTAAAATAGAAATATGAATTAGGTACCAAACATTTTAATACAATAAATTAAGATTTAAAACTGTACCATTGTTTCAGGATGCTTTTCTTTCTTTAGTAGTTCTTCAAATTCTATTAAATCTTCTTTGTCTTCATCGGGTGGTCTACCAGAAAGTCTAGCAGCACGAGCCATAAAGTATGGTGGCAATTCACCAAGCGCAGTACCTGCACCCCACATCATGGCTTCAACTCGTACTTTCAACATGATGTTCCACAAACTAGCTACCCAAGCGCTGTCAACCTCATCTGGGCAAATAATTCTGAAAATATATAAATTTAATAAAATTAATTAAGTATGACTAAATGAATAAATTAAAACATGTGTATAACTTACTGTTCTGGATATGGAGGCTCAGGGAAGTTAAGTCCTCCGCATTCATAGGCAGCCAAAGTAACAGAAGTAATGTGCGGGCCCAAATAGAGAAGGAATGTATGAAGGCCAGTACCAAAACCAACAGATGATAAAACTCCTAAACCTAACCAGTAGAGACACCATACAATTTTTGATTTTGCCCATATTAATATCTAAAATGTCAATAATTTAATTAATTTACGTTAGCTTATTTTAATTATAACTATATAACTTACTGATAAATGAGGACCTTCAATATACAGTAAAATAATTGGAGTAATAATTACTAAAAGTGCCAGAAGCACATATAACTTATAACAAATTAATCTGAAAAATAAAAAAATGAATACAATTAGTCTTACTATTAAATATTATTCAAATTAATGACATTTAGTGAATATATTACTAAAATAATTTAATGCAATTTAAAAATCATATGAGTTCTTATAAAATAAATAATAACATAACAAAATGTGTTTAAGAATTATCTGAAATTATAGTGTTATTTAAATAAAAGTTAAAATAAAACAAAATTACTAGACAACTAACTGCATATAATTGGAAAAGCAATAAAAAGATAGTTAATAATCATTACTGATATAAAATATTATTGATAACAAAATAAATAATTAATTTCACTAATTGTACAACATTATATTAAATTTGAATATGTAATTGATAAATATATTTTAATATAAAACAAGTTCTGTTCAATTATTTTTACGGTTTAAATAATAAAATTTAAAAAAAAAATTTCTATGAGAAAAAAGGAATATTAATTTACCAAGTTTGGAAAAATATTTAGGATCACATATGTAGAATTATATAATTTATTTTTTAATATTTAAAAATCAATTCCTAAAATCACAGCCAAAGAGGCATAGCTTAATGTAGGTAAATAAAAAAAAAATTATAAAACTATGTGAGATTGAAAACAATTTTATGATAATTACTTTTTGGTGAACACAATGGAAATTTGTTTAATAAAAAAAAAAATTTTAAATTCTTTATAATTAAAAATTATAAAACAGTTTTAAATGTAACTTACTTTTTAACAAATGATTTGGATAAACAAACTACTTCTTTAAAGAAATAATCTAAAGTTAAAATGGGATGTTTCCATATCACAATTGAATGGGCATCCATTTTTGATGATTTTTTAAGTTGTTTGAATTTAGAATTACTCTGGCCGTTTTGTGATACCTAAAAAAAATGTTAGGTGAAAGCAGTATACTAAAACAATGATTAAAACTGGTTAACATTAACATTAATCAATACATAAAATGTTAAATTAGTAAGAAAAAATAATTCAGCATTAATTAAACAACAATGTACTTGTAAAAATTAATTTAGGAAGTAATATTACTAAGAAAATACATATTTATAACTAACAAGTAGTTAAATACAAAAAATAAAGAGTTAGGTACATATTGTGAGTTATTAATATTCAAAAAAAGTATCCTTTAGTAAGGTTGATTAAAAATGTTTTTAATTTATTGGTTCATTTTTTTTAAATATTATAGTAAGTTTTAATAAATCAATGAAGACTATTACATCCATTGACATACTTTTAATGAATAAAATATTTTTTCTATAACTAGGTAGATATTTTAGTTAGACGTTATTACATTTTCAAATGTGTAAAACTATGAAAGTGAAATAGATAAATTTGTCTTACTTTATTACCAGCTGATATAACAATTATTAATATAAAATATTATTAATACTAATCATAGTAATTCAATAATGGAGAAATATCTAAACAAATGAATATCCAAGCACTTAGTAAGACACTAACTACACAAAAATAATATTATTGGATAATCATAATGATAAAAATTAATTGAGCAATAATAAAATACAAAGAAAAATGTTTATTGACACACAGTTTTGTGATACATGTAGCTTCCTACCATTTGTGTCATAACCGCTCAAGGTAAAAAGAATTACTAAGTACTTATAAAGCATAATTGTCCAACAAAAAAAAAAAAAATTAATAGAGAAATTTAGATAGAGATCTTGACTACAGAGATAACAATAGGGATGCAGTTATTTTATCACAAACACATGACATAGATTTACAACATTATTGTTTGTAGAACAAAAAAAAAGCAAAAATTGTGTTGGCACAAATATTTGACAGAGATAATGGCAAGTCTAAAATGCACCAACGTGTGTTCCTCGTGTTATGCAATATGTCTACTAATAAAACCATAAAAGCCACTGTTTGCACAGTAATAAAGACATCGAGCGGGTGAGTAACACGCACGACAGCACTGCCGTCGTCCAGGTGCCTTACTTTGTCTATTTTCTTCGGTCTTGATTTATTGGACCTAGAATCAGTCGGCAGACGGTTGCGTGAAGCCATTGTCGTCACAGTCCGGTCTTTGTGAGGCATCCTTTGTGGAGAACATCATGACATAGAACATAAAACGGACAACGGAATTAAAATTTATGAAATATCTCTAATGAAAACTGACATGCACAACCGATCGCTCGTTTCTCAATCAGACCACACTTGCATTATTATTTTTACTATTACTCATACACGGTCATATCAAAATTTGCAAACAGGAAAATATTACAACATTGATACACGTATGTGTTGGAATCAGGAGAAAAAGTAGGGGGCTCGCGAACGGCCAGGGGAAGCCTTGATTTGAGGGGTGGGGGGCTGCCGTGCGTTCGGCGGCAGTGCCTCCCGGAAACGGCGTTCGGCTGGACGTACCTTGCTCGGATTTGCGGTTCCGTGTGCGTCCCCGACGGTGGATCACGTGTATCGATCGCTGGTGGAAGCCCAACGCCCTTAGGTGCGCATCGTGGCCACGGAGGCAGTGGGCGGCGGAAACGGACGACGTGCGAAAGACCGGCGATCAGACTGACTGATCGACGCCTTTAAACGCAGAACGACTGTGGACCGGCAGCGAGTCGCTGTACCACACTCACAAATTATAATAATTGCACTGACGCACTGTGACGTAGGCCTGTTATCAGCCCCTGTGCCGTCGCCGCCGCCTCGTTATTCGTTATCAACCGCCGCCGTTGATAAGCGCCGCCCGATGATAAACCACGTGGATCCACATAGATAGTGCCGTCGCCGTGGAACCTCCGCGTGTCCGACCGGTAGTGCTACAACGTACTGTATTGGCCGCCGTAGTCGGTGGTCGGTCAGCTGGTGATCGGCGGGGTCCGTATCCGTTGTGAGAAAGGGAGGTAGCTGTTCGATTGCCGTCATCCATCCGACACGATCGAAATAAGAAGTATTTAAATATTAAACAATAGAATTAGTAACTTATTTGAGGGGTGCATAGGCACAAATTAATTTATAAGTTTTAAATTTTTATTTTTTTGGTGGAGGGGGAGTGGAATATACAGTTTTTGAGCAATCCCGTAAATGCTTACAGGTACTCCCATGAGTCATGACGCGTCGTCACCCTTGTTTAACCTGTCTAAAAAAAAAAAAGTAAACACATTAGAATGTAGGTATCGTTTTTATTCTTATGTTCCCTACAGTATCCATAGTATCCATATTAGTTACTTATTACTCATTAGTCAATATTTAAAGTTATCAGGCGCTCCACGCTCATAAGAAACAATATTAGTGGAACTTTTTTTTACACAATTTTTATAAGAAAAGCTAACACGGAACCTTGTCTTAAACCTTATTTTCTAATAATTGGAACTTAAAATGTTTATACAAAAATATTATGACTACCTACCTATATGCATATTCTATATAAGTATTTGTATATATGTAAAACTTATAAGAAACCTTGTTATTTTATTAAATATTCAAGCTTTTTGTTCAAAAACAAAAGCATCATCATTCATTAAAATACAATATTATAAATTAAATAGTCAAAAATTTAAAATACCTACCTATACCAATAGCACGGACAAAGTCATTTTAAATATTATTTCATATCTAATAAAAATAATAAAATATGCTAATATATTTCAGATAATTCAGTAACAATAACAAATCTCTACAATTATTCATTTTTGAGTAAAAAGAAAATAATAAAATCGTTTTTGTCAAAAACGAGATTTGCGTTATAATTCCAGTTTTTCCTTAATTTTTTTTTATTTTGTACTTCCTTGACTTTTGTTTACTTTGACCTCTCAATAGTCAACTTGATCTACTTTATTACCAGAAACCACTTTCAAATTTGAAAACCGAAGCATTTTTAATCCACCGAAAAAAAGGATGACAATTAACAGTCAAAAAAAAAAAAATCACACATCATTGTAAAATTAAGGCATTTATTGCTCTACTCAGGTTAGGGTGTTAAGAGTTTTAAATAAAAATCATATGCTTTTCTGATCTATGGTATAGCAATACCAGATCCAGATCCAAACTCAATGCTAAGTAATAAGTGGTAAAAACATTTTTGAATATACCTAATAACTTTTATTTTTAAAATTCCTTACATAGAGTTATTTATAAATCGACTAGAACCTATTTATTTTTAGAGTAAAATAATGTTTTGAAAGGTTCCTAAATTTGCATATATTAATATATAATTAATTTTAATATTACCAATAACTTTATTATTCATTTTTTATATTGTATTCATTCTGCTTTAAATATTTTGTAAATTGATCAAATAAAATTAAGACGTAATAACCCATGTAGTTAAAAAGGTTATCGTTGTTTATTTGATTATAATAAATATATTAAATCTATACAATAATTTCATTCTACTCATCGCCTTATATAATATTATAAGATGATGACAAGTTAATAAAATCATATTTTTATGTTTAGTCATTTCTCATTACTTATTAGTCATGTATGATGTAAATAATCTATAATATATTAGAATACTCGTGTCTCATATAGTGTCCTATTCAAACTTATTTTTTTTTTTTTTTGTTACCCTGCCATAACAAGATTGAAAATTTTTATATTCTCCAATATGGCAATATCTGACGTCATCTTAGAATCAGTAAAATTTTCAATTTTGAGGGTGATTCTAAAAGAAAATTTTACCTATAGTTGGTCAAATTTGCTGGTCATTAGTATTTTTCATAATAATTGAAAAAACGAAAAAATAATCATAAAAAACAAGAATAATTTAAAATAAAGTATAATACATATGATACATTTTTAAAAATTTACTAAAAATCTATATTAGTGCCATTAGTGGTAAGTTAAGTTCTATAAAATTTAAAAAAAAAGCATAAAATAATTTTTAGAAAAACGATTAAAAATCATATTTTAAAAAATATAAAATATTTATGATGAAAATTGAATAAATAAAAAGTAAAATCATAAGATATAAGTAAAATATTTTATTAACGATCATTATTAAAAACATCGATTAGAGTAATAAAAAATGAAAATATAACTTAAAAAGATAAATAGAAATCAAAATATTTATTAAATATATTAAGATACATTGATACGTGCTAAAGTTAAAAAAAAGATTTAAATTTCAATTCCTGTCTATATAGGTATATTCATATTTATTGATAAATGCCTATTTATATTTCAATACTTACTCAATTTATATTTTATAAATTCACAAAAAAAAAATTCTAAAAGAAATTTTACGATTGTCACTATAAAAAAAAAAAATGAATTAATAAAAATTCATTCGTTAAAAAACGAATTTATTTTATAAACATAAGTTTTTATTTAGGTTTTAATAAGATAATTATATTTAAAAATAAAAATTTCTAATAGGTATTTAAGAAGTCATTATTACTATTTGTTTGTTTGTTTGTTTGTTTTTCTTTTTTTATTGAATAAATTTGAATTCAAATAATGTAAAAACATTTATTAAATTTAGTTTGTTAACACATAAAAAAAAATTTGAATTACTATTTAAACATTTATATTTTATTTAAAACCAAGTAAAAACATGGTGGGGGGAGAAAATGTACAAGAGCGGAAATATGTTAAATGGCTAGAAGCACACTAATGGACCTTCCTATAACTCTGAACGAATTTATTGATTTTACTATGTATACTCGATTTTAACGTTAAGGATGGTTTTTGATAGATTAGATCTAACTTATACTTCGAAAAGCTCAAAACTGAAAATGCCCAGTTATTTTTAAAATAATTAAGGAAAATCTAGAAAAATTTTAAATTATGTTTGAAATTTTTATTTTTTTTTTTTATATCTAAGACTTAAAAATTTTCATTAATAAATAAAAGAAATTAGTTGATACTTTGGTGAGTCAAAAGTAAAAATGTACAATACTTTTTTTAATAATTAAGAAAATTAAGGAAAAACCAGAATTTTCACTTAACACCAGTTTTTAAGTTTTTAAGTAAATAAAATAAATTTTGTTTGTTATTATTCATAATCATAAATGATTATTTGTATAAAGACACTAAACGCTAAATGTGATGATATAGAACAATAGATAATATATGATTATTATCGAGCACTGTTTGCGATAATAAATACTTTAAAACTACTAAATTCTATATGATTTAGTAGATTTAGAGTATTTAGAGTTCATGTTAAAAATATGTGGTTTTAGAAGTTAGAAAATATTGAATATTTTATGATATTTATAACTCACAAGCGCCCTCTATCTTAGTCTTAAATGCATAATGCATAGTGTAATATTTAGAATATCGAGTTATCATTGTGAGTACTCCGATGTGATAGTATGATATCATTTTATCAATATGTATTTATTTTTTTTTGTATTTTTATCAGTTCTGTGATAAGTTTTTAGACTTGACGGTTGATGAATTAGAGAATTAGACTGTACGACTTACAAGTGCCTCTGACAGGTGACTACTGACTGCTGAGATGCTGCTTTGTGTTAATTTAAATAAAATAATATTATATTATATTAACATTCATTGAAGTAAGCATTGATTCGCATAGTAGCTGTATAATAATAAAATATACGTGTTATTAAAATAGGTACAATAATGTATCGTATTTAATTGGTGCTTTTAGTTTTTTGCTTGTTAAAAATGATGTAAATACAAATACACTATTCAATTACTAAATACTTATTATAGTTACATGCATTGTATCATATACTAGAAAAAAAAAAGTACACTACCTAATAATAAGGTATTTAAAAGGTAGTTAATCTTTATTTTAGTTCTAACTGGCTGAATATAACTTCTACAATATAAATATAATATTATTATTTTTTTTATAAAACAGTTGAATCATTCAAATCTAGTTCAGCTGCTGATTTAAAGTTTGACCATGTACATTTTGAATGATTTCTTCAAAGCATTAAGATTGTTTGTCCAAACCCATGCGGAGCTAGACATAGATATTAAATTTCCAACGTCAAAACACCACATTAATGGGCACATCCGTTTCTATTCAACTAAAGTGAGTCACATCAAACATATAAATTTGCTAAAAGTTTGAAATTTGCGTTTATTTTAAAAATAAATCCATTTTTATTTTCTAGAATTTACAAAATCTTGTTGAAAAGTTAGTGGAGGACTTGATAATCGTTGAATGTTGCTCTTGGTCTTCAAATTATTTATCAATATGGTTAAAAAAAGAAGTATGGGCATCCACAGTGATGAAAGAGATATTAATGTCTGGCTGTAAATATGGTAGCAATGATGATCACAAAGACACTGTAAAGTATATAATCTCAAATCTCAAAAACATGAGTGAGTTTCTAAAATTTGTTTTTTGTAAATATAGGCAGTCTCAGTCAGTTCTGATGAGTCTAATGATTCAGTTACATGCTTGCGCATTGTACTGTTGAAAGAGGCGATTCAAAATTTGGCCAAAATGAATGGCTTTATAATAGGAAATGATGGATTGAATTTATTGGTGTCAAAAAAAAACAATCCCACTAATAGAAATCTTATATTGTGTGGTAATGTTGTTTGTAATATGCCAGTCAAAGAATATAAACAGTGAGTCTATAATGAATTTATTAATTAAATATATTCATAAAAAAATTATACTTTATTGGATTTTCAGGCAAAAACAAGACTCTATTACTAAAATGTCAGCTAATCGTATTGAGTCTAATGAATATCCGGTCGATATAATTTCAAAATTATGTCATGCATCAATCGTCTATGAATTATTAAGTGTCCGCCACAATAAAGTTATTAATACAGAATGTGATACATCAAATAAAGACAGTTTGTTAAAATAACTATTTTTATGCTTATTAACATGTACAATTTAAATTTATTTCTGCATTTTTTTTTTTTTTAGGTGGTATTTTCATAATGTATAATTACTCTAGACTATGTCAAATATGGAAAGCATATCAACAAGATGTTATTGGCAATTACCATGATTATTTACCAGACATTGATTCTGTTAACTTTGGATTGTTGACTAGTAATGTGAGTTTTATTGTTTAAATTATAGTGCCATTAATGTATCTTAAAATATTTTAGTTACATATTTGGCTTACCTGGAATGTAAATAATTTGTCATTTATAAAAATATTATTTTTTTTTTGTGTTTCTATCCAAATAAAACATATGTATAATAATATAATAAAAATTATAAAATATTTAATTTATTTGTTATGCATATTATTTATATTTTCATTGATAGAAAATCAAAAAAATAAAAGGCTATTGACATCTGACAGATTCATTACATGTTTTCTAATGTTGCTATCATTGGTTTAATATTGTTGGGAAATTAAATTACAATGAATAATATTTTATTATTATATGTATCATCTAGGAAGAATGGATTTTAATTTTCAACTATTTATCAATGTATCCTTTGGTTATTCAACAATCTGTCAAACACTTGATGTCAGCCAATGTGGATATCCATAGATTGTGCAAGTTTTTAATGGAAATGTCATCAGCAGTTAGCCTATTTTATCATAGGTATCATATTTTATCAGTAAGTATACTGTTGAAAAGTGCAACAGTAGTTTTTTTTTTTATGTCAACTTTTCAAACAAATTGGTAACTATAAATTTTGTGTTGCATAAAATAACATTTTAATTTTATACAATGCTATAAATTATTAAAAAAAATAGTAATAAAATATATTGAGTTATATTAACAGGTTTTGCACTAGCACAGAACTCATTGAAACCAAAATTCTTTTATTTTAAAGTAAATAATTTTAAACCTTAAGTATATAAATTATTACTTAATTACCTACTAAAGCATATATTTTTCATGTAAAGTTATAATATTAAGTTACCAAACTTTTCATAATTACTAATTCATTAGATATTAAACTAACTATTTTAAATTTCATCAACCCAACCAAGTAATTGTGAATCTGTTTTATACTTTGATAATCAACGCATGGTTGTTACATACAATTATATAATTTATATTTATTTTTATATCAAAATAAAATTTATTTGATTAATATATAATACATTATACTATCATGATAACATTCAAAATGTATATTTTATATAGTTTAGTACATTATTAAAATTAAATATTGATTAATTATATACAATCAAAATTACCTAAATACTTTTTAATTTTAATGTGAAAATTATGGATATGAATATTTTTTTAACTGTAGATGGCAAGTTAATTCAAGGTGTATTTTTTTTTGTTTTTGAATTTTAGAATTTTGCTTAGTAAATTTGCTTTAATATTAACTTAAAATTAACAGATTTTTTGTTATATCTGTATTAAACAGATACAACATGTGTGGGTGTAATATATTTTTTATGAATATTCTAATATTTTTAAAGATGAAATAAAGAGTTGTAATTTATTTATAAAGTATTAACACTCAGTTTATAATTTTATAATTTTATTTATCCTAACAACACATTCATTAATATTTTTTCATATTTAATTTTAATTAAATGTTGAATGTGTTGGTATTTATTGTCATTGTTACTTTTTTATTATTTTATAACTAATATTTTTTTTTCTTAAAATTATTATTATTCATCCTTCTGTATTATTTTTAAGAACATTTTTTATAGTTTTTAAGTTAAATGTTGGTTTCTTATAGTGCAATACTTTAATACATTTTGTTTGGTAGAGTATTATGTTAAAATAACAATGTTTAAGTAAAACATAAATTATCCACTTTTAGTAGTATTTTTATTTTTTACCTATTATCATTAAGTTATATGTATTTATACCTAGATTTAAATAAGAAATATTTTTTCTCATTACTTAAAAGATTTGATATTTGATAAAATTCTGAAAACTAAATTTTATAATTTATTAAATATATTTATAATATATTTTATTTTATAAAAATGTATCTGTAACAATGAAAATATTGTTAATTTAAATTTTAAAAGACTAAAAACAATAGTGTGTGTTTTGTTAATGTGTAAAGTATAAAAAGGTAGGTAATTAGGTAAATGAATGGATAGTATTTATATATTGTACACAGATAAAAAATACATAAGTTCAAACCATTAAATAAATTAAAACTTAACATACATATTTCATAAGCATAGACTAATGAAAACTAACAAATGATAGATTCATAATGATGTTTACCTATTACTTGTTAATGAAATTTGTCATTATTTGTGTTAATATCTAACCATATTTTCTTTTGTTATATTTTCATATTTCAATATATAAATAATTGTTAAGTAATAAAATATGTAGACAATTTCTACTTGAGTTTATAAAAACATAAATAATAAATGTTATGATAAAAAAGCACCTACACGACTAAAAATAATATTCTTTTTGAATATTAAATGAAGTAATCATTTAATAACTAATAAATTTAATATTATACTTAAAAATATTACTTCTTTTTTTTTACATACTTATAATAAATTAATTGAATAACAATCAAATTAGCAGGTATATACTAATTTAGTATGGTATACAATTTATAATCTATTGAGTTTTATAGTTTGTTTATAAATATAATATCATACTATTGTTAGTTGCTATTATTTTTCATGATATTTTAATACTAATAAAATGCAATAAAATTCAATAACTTAATGTTGATAATATAAAATTTAAAAATTGAATTGTTTTTAAATTCTTTTGTTGAATTATTTTAAGTTTATACCTTACTTGTTATAATTTGTAAATGTACTCATATGGTATCCAATCACTGATAAGTGATAAATATTTGACATTTGTATTTAATTATACTATGTTGTTTAACAAATGTTTAGCATATGTGTACATAATAAATTTATATAAATATAATTAAATATACTTCAACTAAATATTATTTGTTAAATTTCATATTGAATATTAATGCATTTAATATTTATTCTCAGAGTCCATTGCCGTTGATGAACGCTCGAATATATTTAGTCAAAACGTCAATACAGGTGTATGAAAATGTTTTCCAATTATTGGGCATTAAAGCTGTACGTGAAATGTAAATGGTACTAATAGACAAAGGCGTTATGGAAGGCGAATGCCAATGTTGATCAATATCGACGTAAAATAATATTGTTTTTTTTTTTTTTTTTTTTTTTTTAATTAACCTATACCTACGTTGTATTGTAATGATTTTTTTACTAAATTTTTTTATGTTACATATGCCTAAAAATATTAAATAATATGAAATCGTTTCATATAATTCAAATGTCTTATTTTTTTTTTATTTATTTATTGTTTGGTATTTATTAATCATCTGGAAAAGTAAATCAAAAATCATGACACACCATCCACCAGACGGTGTGTACGTCTTTTTCTATAAATTCTACACGCGTCATACGTGTAGTTGGAAAAAAAATGTATGTATATAATATTGGAGATACCGAGAATCGAGACAATAATAAACTGACAAACTTTTTCCCCAGTCTTGACTTTTAGAACTCCGCCGACCGTATTTTTCAAAAACACATGTTCAAAACGTTGAGATAACAGCATTGTCTGCTACATAAGAATGTAAGTTTGTGCGAGAGCGAGACCTTTTTCTCTATTATTTTTTTGGTCTTTTACATTTCTAAAACCTATTGACTATCAAAAGTTGTTGCAACCATTACTTCTGTAAACTTGTTTCAATTTAAGTGTTCGCCGGTTAGATAAAACAATAAACCAAGTTTAAAGTTTGTTCGCGTTTAGCTGCTCGATATACGAACGACAAGTATTCGAAGATAATGATTGGAAATCAAAATTCTACACAAATGTGAGTAATTTGACAATATTCTTATATTAATATAATAGTTAGGTGATATTATACAGTATTATAATTATACCGTATTATGTATACATGCATGATTGATAAACCGATAGATAGGTACAGTTGTACATCAAAGTACCTAGGAATTAATTAAACTTTGGATTCTAAGTTTAACGTAGACGTCGTACAAAAAATATAGGTAGGTATCAAGTAAATTAAATATACTGCATCGTTGGTACAATATTTTAAGTAACAAAATAAAACTTAATTTTGAATTCTGAACAGAACATTCTACCTATTCAATTTTAATAAAATTTGGATTTACGGTGATTTTATGTGTTCCTCTGTTTTCGCATTTCGGAGTAGTTAATATGCTTCAATTTTGAGTGTGGTCTCTGGTCCAGTAGGGTTGCCATATTCGTCCCGGGAAATCTGAGACGTTACCGATCAGGACCCATGATCCTGGCGTCCCAGACAAAATTTCTTGGGATACTGATTTGTGCTGATTTTGAACTGTTACATAGTAATGAATTTGGAATTTTTTTCATAATTTTTTTACTTAGGTACTCGATTATCGGTATTATTTTGAACAAAACCTAATCGTAAATTCGTAAATATTAGTTATTACTTATTAGAAGTTACTACTTATTAGTAGTTATTACTTATTATAACAATATTTGATAATGAACGTCGAAACGTGTGCTAATGACAGTAATAATCGCTTTCTAAATTTAGCGAACTTACTGCCTTTAACTTCTAACTACTATTAATTTGCATTCGGGTAAAAACCATGATATTTGAATTTCGAGAACTGCAATTACGAAAGATAATATTAATATGTACTTAATATAATGTACGAGTATAGTTTATTAGTTTATACACGAGTAGGTTTGCGTTTATTTTTCGAAATTACGAGTCGTGTGCAAGTGTGATATGTATGTATTAACAGTTTTTGTACGTATTTATACTTTATAGTGTCGTAATTTTATTTAGTACGTTTTTTTACGTAGTGACTATATTATGCTGTCTAAAAGACATTTTAATGAGAAGTTGCAAAATGATTTCCCACTTTTTTGCAAAACTTTAGTCTACTGACAATTTTAATGTACAGTTTACATAAACAGTTTTATTATTATACATAAATAATAATTTATATTTTTGGTGTCCCAGATTTCTTAAAATTTAATCTGGCCACCCTATTTCTGGTAGAAAATTAAATCTGTAGTTGTTGTTTAGTTGGTACTTTTTTAGTTTAATTTTAAAAGTTATTAGCTTGGATTTAATAGTTATTTTGTTGTAAATAAAAATTGATTTATGTTTAGATCTTTGGAATTTTTACAGATTAATTTATATTAGCATATTTTAGAAATAATAGAATTTTTAAAATGTTCTGGGTCTTTTGAACTATTTATAGACATTTCAATTTACAATTACAAATGTACGTTTTAATTTTTTCAGCTTATATTGATAAAATTTTTTTTCTGAAAAAATTTGGAGTTAGCTTATTTATAATTTGATTTCTAATTAACTTATATAAGTTAGAAACAAAAATATAATAATTATTATATTTTGTTTGTACAATGATTTTGGTAAAAATTATAATCTACATTCTACTGTATTTAAACTTCTATTAAAATAATTTTATGATAAAATATTCTTAGAAAATAGTGAACCTATTCATCCTGTTTCCGTCCAGGATTGTTTTAAAATCGCAAAGATTTATCATTGATTTTTATTTGAATATAGTGTCTATTACTAGTGTTAGTAAAACAATTAGATGAAATAATAATTTATGTAAAAAAAAAAGTGTGCACGGTACACCTACTTAAATATTTAAATGTCTTATTATTGATGATATTAATAATAATGAAAATAAAAATACATTACGTTATTTAAATACATACATAGTATAAATATTATGCCAAAATAATGACGCTCTCTCCACTTCAAAAAGTCAAGCTTAAACTACAGTTTATAACTGATTAGTAACTAATTATGGAAGAGAAGAAATAACATTAAATAGGTACAAATAAATACTAAATACAAACTATATAGTTAGTATTTAAAATTATAATTTTTTCTTTTTGCCTGTTTTTTATTCACTATTTTCTTAATGTTAATTATAACCTACTTTAAATCAACATTATTTAAATCGAAAGTGCATTGTACATAAATAATAAACATTGATTTAATTTTAAATCTGGTAATATCAATCTTTAATTTTTTATATTAACAGTATAAAATTTTTCAAAACTTTTGTTTACGTTTATTTAATTTAGATCATTTTCAGTTTTAATCGAGCATTATAAGCATATACTATGTAGTTTTATGTAGTAGTTCAAATATTTTTACATAAATCTAATACAATTTCTTTATATAATAAAGGGTTTTTAAATCAACTATAAGTTCACTACGCAAGCTAATTTTAGGATATAACCTAGTCTCTAGGCTTGTACATAATTATTTTTATTAACCAACGCATAATTATAATACCTAGTTATAAGTTCACAAGATGAGCTATAAACTGTCTATAACTAATTATTGATCGTTTAACGAGAAATTCAGAATTTGTCTTTGATTTTTATTAACATAGAGAAGTTTTCTAATTATATATGCTGTACATGATAAGCCCATTTAAATTTTTCATCAACTATATAATATAATGACATAACGCCCAAATACTTAATTAAATTTACATTTTGAATGTATATGTATTAATAATTATCTGACTGCGTGAATAGTTAAATTCATGAATAATTAATGGTTTTATAATATTAAATGTTACATTTGAAAATAAGTAGGTTGTAGGTTAGATAACCTAGATCTTATTTAAAATATAAAATTTTATCAAATTATCGTCTAACAATTTTTTAATTTCCCTCTATAGCCACAGAGTTCTAATTTTTCAATAAAAATTATAAAGAATCAAAGACTTCTTTTAAATATAAAAATTTTCAAGTATTTTTTTATTTCTATCCAAACTAGTATTATGTTTATAATTAGAGGAGATTGATTAAGATAATTGAAAGGGGTACCTACGCGTAAATTTAAATATAAAGAAAAAGGTCTCCGTCCTCGTCATTCAAACACTGTCCATTACAGTGACTTAACTAAAACATTGTATTAAATTTCAATCCTTAAATTTAAAATTGGAACATAATATAAATTTAACAAAAAAATTATTTACAAATTTTCGTGATTTTGTCAAAATTTAACCTTAAAATGCTTATAAACAAAATAGTTTGTATATATATTTAAATTTATAATTATAACTTATGAAAATCTTTGTATCGCATTTTCAAGCTTTTTAATCTAGTGAAAAATTAATTATTGGCATTTATAGAAACATAGATAGGATAAGTTAATAATGTTAATTGTCTATAAATATTAAGTAGATAAAAAAAAAAAAATTAAAATATTTAATAAATTTTACCATGTGTAGGAAATAATAAAATAACATTTTTTGGTAAACATTTTAAGTACCTATATTCTTTTGTTGTAAACAAAATATTAAAAATCGGTTGAGGAGAAATATTTAGTTATTTTTTGGTTGAATATCCAATGTCATAAAAATTAATGTGACTTTTCAGTAAACTTTTTTTTATTGTGGGTGGGAAGCTTATGAGAATTTTTGTATTAAATTTTCAAATATTAAATATAAAAAGAATTTTTTTTATGAATTCCTAACCATAACATGATTTGAAAGTTTTAACTTATGTAAAACGTTCATAAAAATTATTGTGATTATGTATTTTTGTTTTTGTTTTTATTTATCTTTTATTGGTATATTAACAACTGAATTTTGTATTAAATATATTAAAGCTGTTTTTTTGTCTTAGTGAAAATTTTGCTATAGATATTTATATTATTCGATTAAAAATTTAAAATGCTCATTCGTTTTTGAGTTACATAAAAAAAACAAAATTGATTTTATCAAAAACTGGATTTGTGTAAACATTTTGGCTTATCCTAATTTTTTCTTTGCACACGTATTTAAAAAAGCATTAGAAATTTCACTTTAAACCCTACAAAGTATAACCTTGACCTAATTTGCTATCAGATACCAATCTTAAATTTGAAAATTGAATTATTTTTACTGCCTCGCATAATAATGGCACATTAAATCAAAAAATAAATAAATAAATTCAGATTGTTTTATAAAACAATTTATAAATTCAATACTGTATACGCTTCTCTCAAAACCTAAAATTCAGAAAACTTGATTTCAAATAAATTAAAAAAAAAAAAAAATTGGGAAAGTACGCCTGATGAATTACCCTGTTTATTTATGTTTTAGTACCTATACATATACCATAGTTTCTTAAACATTATCTGCACACGAAATGCCAATATTTTTTACATATTG